TTGTTGTTGTTGTTGTTGTTGTTGTTGTTGCGCTGCTGCTGCTGCTGCTGCTGCTGCTGTCAGTACTACTAGTGTTGCTGGTGATAGTATCCACCAGTATTGTTGTTAATAGCAGTAGTACCAATTTGGGTGTCTATGTGTGATTGGTATTGTAGGTATGTGCTGATTGTCAGACAGAGGAGATGGGTTTCCACTTGCATTATGATCACACCCCAACTGCTTTGCTGCTGGTGCTTTTTACACCACGCCGCGCTGCAACAACATACTAGTAGTAACAATCATGCTGGTGAGGACTGTTCTGTATTTATTAGTAAAAACTCTCAATTGTCATCAGCTCTTATTACTACAAGTACTGCCACTACTACTAGTAGTAGTAGTTTCAAGGTTCTTCTTTGAACAAGAATAAGAAGGCTCCTTCTTTCCTGCTCCTCCGTGGTCACACCCCTTGCTGGTGCTTCTTCTTGTTGAAATGATCAACATGGTGGTTGAAACATGATTATATCTACTACTAGTAGTAGTACTACTACTTGTAGTACCAGCATTTGTACTACTAGCTATCACTAGTACTTGTATTACTATTACTCCCCACCAGTACTAGCTACTAGTACTACTACTACATCTACTTCTGGTCACCATAGCGGATGGTGGTTATCATGCTCGCCGTACATACCAACATACGGTACGTACCGTACAAACTTTTCTTCTGATGCGTCACAGTTTCTCCCGGCTCGTTTATCTCACAAATGAAAGCTTTTCTGATCTTTCACACTAAGGTACCCGAAATTGGAAGAAAATATTACTACCGATACTAGTTCCATAGGACAAAGAATAGAATGACTGCGTGTACAAAAATCGACCTTCTAAAATTCATTGTAGTCACGTTCGCTGCATTCATCTGGAAAGCTGAAGCCGATGAATGTTCACAATCGGAATTTGCAACAACCACGTCATGCGATAACTTTCTTGAGGAGTTTCGATTGTTGATAGAATCGGGGAACTTGTCTTTGGCTCGAAGAAAGGCTCTCGAGGCGATGCATGACAGAACTTCCAATAGATGTAGCGAGAATCAAATCTCAACTTTTTATGTTGCCTCATTTCAAGGGACCTATGACGCCATCGGAAATGACTTTTTAACTAAAATCCAGGAATCAGTATCTACCAAAAATTCATCATATATACGTGCAAAAAGTGACAGTCCAAATTGTATGAAACTGCACATTGATTGGAATGATGTAAATCCAATAGAGTTCTGGGATAGACACTGTTCTCTACTACCAGTCAGAGAAACCGTACCCACCTTGTCGTCGCCATCGTTTGCCGAAATTCCTCGATTTCAATATTCTTCTCAAACTCCTTGCTGCGAGTTTTGTGCAGGATCTTCGACGTACCTGAGGCTTCCAGCTTTAAAGGAACCCGCGATACGATTGAACATACAGCACCACAAAAATTGGGATCAAAAGGGAAAACGTAGCGCAACTGCCGAGTCTGTACGTACCGTTTTTGATCTAGAACAAGATGGTTACCTCCGCCCATTTGATGTTGCGGGAATCCTGTGGCCAACAGGTTATCTGCTGAGTCTTTGTCTGGGAGATATTTTTCGGTGCCCCATTCCCGAATTGCATAACCTGGTCTTAGACTATCACTCGGAGATTCGTTCTAAAGAAGCATTGAATGCAAACGAGAAATGCCTCAATCACTCTCCTCTGGGAGTAGAATTGGGGGCAGGTATTGGAGCAGCTAGGTGAGAAATGTTTGGGTACGAATCAAAAGTTTGTATCTTTAAAAGAAAGCTCCAGCGTGGACCTCACAAACTCGTACTCGTCTTAACATTGAAAGTGTTGTACTTGCAAAGTCCTTAAAAAGCATGGGGTTCCCATCATCGTCTTACCATGCGAAGTGCAAACCTTGGGTTGTAGCCACCGATTTGGCTCCGCATGCTTTGGCCTTAGCGATTGCGAATGGAAAAAGAAATCTCGTTGATCTAAGTGTATCTCTCGTCGATCATTTCAACCAATCGTCTGTAAAGGAAATGAAAAGCAAATATTTCTTCCAAGAAGTGAAAAAAACGGCATCAATGTATGAAAAGGAGGAACAAAACTATGCGCGAAGCATCGGATTCCCCCTAGTGTTTGGTTCCTCGTTGCAAGGGCTATTCCAGGACACAGATAAGAAGGATTGTGCCCTTTGGAAGTCTCTTGAGGCACTCATAGACATGAATAATCCGAATGCTTTAGCAATTCTAGTTCACAATCGAGCCGATCCATTGAGGTTACCAAATGATGCTAATTTTTCATTTCGCCTCGTTCGACGAATTTCGGGCTCCCATGAAGTCTTCGGAAATATGAAAACCAGGAATGGAGACACGTCCGAGTTTGAAATCTATGTCTTTCAACGACAGATCACTCGCCATTCGAAAGCGAGATCGTTGCCGACTAGTATTGGTTCTGAAGAATTATAGCTTTCTTGATTTTACTATATGAAGTTTGTTATTGACGACCAATCTCCTATTGGAAACTGTTTTATTCCTATGGATATCTCTGTACTTCAAACTGAAGACGCTATATTATTAGGAATTCGATAACGTAGCGATTTGTCAAAGGAGAGGCAAGAAAAATTGCACTTCTTAATACTCTACCAATGCCATATTACTCCCTCTCCAGATGTATCCTCTCCGCCGTAGAGATTTATAGGGTCGGAGAGAGACTCGACAGCAGCAAACAAAGGTAATTCTTCTGCAGCAAATAATGTTTCTAAATCACGAGATGGCGCAAGTCTTATTACGCGCTGAGACTTGTCTTCGATCGCCTCCTGTAATCGACTCAATCGATTCAATTCCATGCATAAGAAAGGAATGGCATCTTTGTCCTTAGATGCCAATGCTATGGACGACAAAACATTGGAAGAACAGGAATTTCGAAGATTACTTGGCAAAGATAAAACCGACTGGATTCCCTCTTCAACTGTGGCTTTTGGGATCCCTTCTTCTGCTTGTAAATTCTCACACTTGGATTCAAAACTGGAAAGAACACTTCGGGTTGAAATTGATGTACTTTGGGTCGAGAACCGTCTTTTCGTTTGTGACTTCCTTTGACAAATATCAATGCTATCCCAACAGGAATCAATTGATGATCGAATCTTGCGTAACAAAACACCCCGTGACAGTTCTTTGTGCATACAATTACATGCATCTTTTTCTGTGACAATTGATGATGATACAATCAATCGTGCCATCGAGACCATGATGGCGGTATGGCTCCCAGCCAGCGGACAATCTCTCGCTTTTGATAAGATCGAGATTGCATGATGAAAAACATTGCTAATTGTGGTTTCAGTATAATCATTTGGTTTTTTTCTCTCTTGCGAGATCACGAGGTACCCCACCTCCAAAAAAAAATGTGCATAGACGCACCAGATACCAGCTACACGATCTCGCAAATTGAACAGAGATGAAATCTCTTCGTTTTGGGAGCTGCCTTTTTCAAGTTTCCGTATGACATGTGTCGCTTCTTCGTAAAACTTCTCCAGCATTTGGTGGAGAACATTGAAAGAGGAGTGAATGATCCCTGCCTTCAATCGCGAACGTAACCAACGGTAAAGGACATAAGAAAAATCAGAAGAAGGTGACTGACGAGTATCGAGGAGTTTGCTTGCCGAAGGTATAGCCTTCCGATGGAGATCTATCGGGAACAGTTTGAGATGAAGCCGATGCCCTGAATCGTCGCTTTCCCGCAACTTCCCTTCAGCAGAATCAGCATTTTTCGGATTCATTTTTTCTCTTTCATCATTCCATTGACAAAAACAACCCCCCTTCAAACAAGATGTATCTTTTCCAGCCACATTCGCAGCGTTTCCCAGTGCCTTTTGTTTTGTCTCGGCAGAGGACAAAATGCGCAGAGACCAACTTGTATCGTCCCAAGTTGGATCCTCGGAGTTCAAATCGTTGCCTTTAGCATACATTACATTGTGAACTCTTTTGATTTTAGGTTGACCACGACGCATAGGTGAGGCGATCGAGTTCATACCAGGCGTCTTTTGCTTCCTTCTATCGGGAAGACATGAGGGTATTGGTAAGTCCCAAGAAGAGTCATCCCATTCATTACAAAATGATTCTCTTCTTGACGCGAATAACATGTCCTTGACCTTGCTGTTGCGTTGAAGTGAATGGCTTGAAGTACACGAAATCGAATCATTTTCCTGGCCGTCAATCTTCTTATTCTCATTCGATGATCTTCTCGTCTCATCATAGTGGTCGTGGTGATCGAAATTTACCTTGAGATGTGTTGACGAATCGTTGGGGTCAACAAATCCATCCAGTAATGTCAGTGCTGAGGTATTCGACGAGGAAGTCATTGATTGATCGCACGATTCAGAAGAACACGAAGAAACCAGGGGCATTCCATCGTCCTTCAAATCATTCTCAGCTTCTTGTGCAGAGTGGGCAAGAGATAGCGTTGCGCAATCAGAAATGAGCCCATCGTCTGACGATTCTTCTGAACCCAAAAACTTTCGTTTTCGGCATCTTCTCGACAAAGGGAATGAGACATGTTCCTTGTCAGATTCGGGGGGGCATTGATTTGCATCTTGTTGAAAACTCATTTTGATGTTGTTCTGATTACTTCTTCGGTGCTTCTGAATGCTTGGCAGTTGTCTTCAAGGAAAAATGGCTGGCTGCTAGTGATACAATACTAATGTCGTCAATAGTCAACCGAGCTTTCAAGATCATCTACAAACCCGGTGCCTTAAAATTATCGATAGTACCGTACGTAAACGTAGATAGACGCTGCGATAGGGACAGAATCCGATCAATAATTTTTTTCCTCAAGCTTGCGCACAAATAATGTTCTGTAGTAAGTTCTGGTGCACGCAATGATATCGGTATCGGTAGTAGTCGTACCTTGTCGGTAGGCAGGGGTCAGACGGTAGGTGTTCAGTCCCAACATAGAAATCGATATGATAATGATTGCTACTTTAGATTCTAGAGTAGTATTGTAAAAAAAGTTCTACTTAATAAATTATATTGTGAGATAATAATACTTCTTATATTTCAACTACAATTAATGAGTATGCAAGGCATATTTGATTAAGTAGCTCATATTTAAGAACTCGATTTGAAAAATTATGTCGTCTGGTCGTTATTTACTGTACTTTACTTGAGTACTTCTATTAACAACATTACAGTATTGTACCGTACGTACAAAACGTCGTGCGGGGGCATAATGTTAGACCTACCCCGTCATGAGCATCATAGCCTACAGGTTGTCATACATTTCGCACAGGTATGTTTTACTATTTTCGTGCATAATGTACGAAGCCGCTCAGAGTACGAGTACCTGGTACTCGTACGAGTAGAATGTTGCTAATTTTAGTCCGAAGTAGGTACGAGGTTGGAAGGCAAGTGAGGTGGTGACAGGTCCGGAGTCAGTACAAATTGTACACGGCTCTACGGAGAGAACAATACACCTCATTTGCCTTCGCAACATGAACCTGTCTCACTTTGAAAAAAACCATTAAGTATTTTTATATCGAAATATTTGGTAGTACTAATTTGTACGTAGGATTCTACACACCTTGTTATACTGAGGGCTCTTAAGAAAAAACCGCTTGGCCGATCATTCTGAGAATTCCGGATCCCCTTCTTCGTATAGTAATGAAGTTATTCCAGTACATGTGTGGAGTGGAAGTGTCCCCAATTGCTCTGTCTGGAGGGCGTGACAACCCCCACGTACGAGTACCAGCAGTTTTGCAACATAAATTTCCAAATGAATCCCGGATTAGGATTCATTCGTATTTGTGACCGATAGCAACTTCTATTGTAAAATGTCAGGGATTTAGTCGAAAGAGTCCATTTACCTGCCTTACTAGTTACTTTTTTCTTCCAACACATCGTCGTTGTTCTTGCAAAGGGTTTGAGACAATCATCCTCGTGCAGACCTGCATCCTCCGTGTGATCAGCATCCTTAGTAGCAACACCGCCTCGATATAATCTCAGCAAACTCAAGGTGTGTTTTGACGATGGCGATAGTTGTCTCTCGAGTTTTATGATCCGAGGTGCCGCAAACAATAGTAGGACTGTATGGAAGTAACAGAGAGCGGAAGCTGATTTGAAACGTACATGACGATGTCGGAGCATCCACCACACAACTCTGGGTGTAATTTTACCAGTAGTCCAGCTGTCGACACAAAAACCAAAGTGCATTTTCTCAACGTTTTTTTAATTTTCTCCTATACATTGTTTCGATCAAAACAGACAAGATGACTGTTGCCGGTATCATGCGCCAATACCAAGTGGTCGGCCGAAAGGCCCCCACCGATGACGTTCCTAACCCAGAAGCGTACAGAATGATCATCTTCGCCCCCAACGCCGTTATCGCAAAGTCGAAGTTCTGGTATTTCATGCATCAATTTAGAAAGATGAAGAAGACCACCGGTGAAATCTTGGACTGCGTTGAGATTGTCGAAAAGAACAACAGAATCGTCAAGAACTACGGTATCTGGCTTCGTTACAACTCCCGTTCTGGTACCCACAATATGTACCGAGAGTTCCGAGATGTTTCCTTGACCGGAGCCGTTTCACAATTGTACGATGAAATGGCCGGACGTCACCGAGCTCGCCCTCGATCCATCCAGATTATCAGAACAGCGGTTGTCGGTGCCAAGGACTTGAAGCGTGTCAACGGTATGCAATTTGCCCAGGCCAATGTTAAATTCCCTCTTCCCCACCGTGTTGCCAGCGGAAAGCGAGGACAAAAAGCTTTGTCTTCGTCCACTTTCACCACTGTCCGACCTACAACCTTCCTTGGTTAAGCAATAAACGAAATTCCAATACCCCAAAATTTTGGTGAGATTAAAAGCTACAACCGCGATCATCGCCTGCACTGTGACATAAGTGCCTTGATATACAATCGTATTGTTAGAAGTAGACGTATGAGCGAGAAGAGGAATCAAATGTTCCTTGGCAATAATTCCTCGAACTTTATCTGTAGATTAGGAACTTTTCTGCTTAGTTCCAATCCCAAATTAAGCACGGAGTCAGTTATTGAGATACTTTAAAAGGTGAGGCAACTTTAGTAGTCACTCGATGGATAATACCAAGCGTGGCTCTCGTTATCAATGAAGTGCTTTCTCGATATGAGGAAACTCTTGTCTTCATAGGTACCTGCAGCAAACCCGTCTTAACGTCAATCTCTTTCTGCATCATCAGAAGTGGGAACATCTACGATGTCTTTTCGAAGAAAGGATTGGGAATAGCGAGAGCATAAATTTCATCAAAGGCGTTATGTTTTTTGATACAGAGAAATGACGAAACCCCATTCGCTTCACGAGCCCTTCAATCCCGCTAAGAGTATCGGCGTGAAGACATTATCGGTGTATAATTCAGTCTAGTTTCTAATTACGGTAGTTCTCGTAGCTTGCACGGGTCCATTTTTCATCCGGCATCCTCTTCCCGTGCTACCACTTGAAACCGTGGTAACCCGAAAACGTGGATTCGTCGTAGTCCAGGTGTCCGATGTCGCCCATCATCCGTGCGGACACCATGCCGTTCGGGCGAACGACCAGATAGGTAATGGAGCAGTTGAACGTGCACAGTCTCAGCCACGCCTCGGGCGGCAGCTGCAGCGCGCGGCAAAAGAAGTACCGGATAACGTTGCCGTGGCAGACAATCACCTCGAAGGCGTCACTCTCGCCCGCTTCCTCCGGAGATGGATCGTCGCGTTCCCGTTCTCCCTCGCCGTCGTCTCTGTAAAAGTACTTCCGAAAGGCCGCCTCGATTCTGTCGTGGTTCTCGTCGATTTCTTCCTCTGCACCCTTAATGTCCGGTCGAATGGGCACCATGGGAGCCGGTAGGGCCTCGTTGAGCATCGGATCCGGTTCCCGCAGGAGTGCTGTTTCCCCGTGGAATTGTTCGGCGATGAGTGCCGCCGTCTCCTTCGCCCGTGTCATATCGGAGACGTGGATCGCCTTGACGGCGCATTTCCCGTTGAAGCGATGGTCTTCGAACGATGCGGAACCCCTGGCCATCTCGACCAGTCGCTTTCCCGTTTGAATGGCCTGCCGGCGGCCCAGAGGCGTGAGCTTGCGGTGTTTGTCTTCGTCCGACCGCTCGTCGTACTGACCGTGTCTCACCAGTATCAGGTGCCTCGATCGCTTGTTTCTCGTGCCGTCGTTGCCATTATTCTGTTCGGCTCTGCTGGATGCATTTGCTTTGGCTTCGCCGTTTCGAAAGGCTTCCAGGGTTGTGTCGCTGGTCATCCTTCCGTCCCAGTTGTAGTCCCACAGTGGGTAGGGAACGGCCGGTGTGCGCATCTGGCGCTTCAGACACTGGCCGTGGAACAGGCTGTTCAGGCCTTCGCTGTCCGTTGCCCCGGACGAGGCTTCACCGGGCGATTCCGAGCAGCGCGCCGTGGTTGTCACGTCCTCCCGCGAGAAGCCGTTGCTCGCGAGCGAAGCAGCGGCGGCGGCCGCGACGAGAAGCCTCGATGGATCGGAAAGATGCCATGGGGCTCCCGAGTGCGACGAGAAGCGCCGTGCCAGGGACAGCCGCGAAAACATCGCTTTCTCCCCGAATCTTCGATTGCAATGAAAAACGAACGAGGAACGGTCGAGAAGTTGCTAGATCTCGGCCTTATGGTAAGTACCTCACTCGTATGGTGCTTGCCGATGGCCTATCTTTCGGATGCCGTATTGCGTCGGAGCGTATGGTACCAAGATCCTAGTTCCGCAGAGATTCCGGCGTTTTCGAAAGATTTTTGATTTTGCGATGTTTTCGCGTACGGCTCTCTACTAGTTCTACGTACTATGGTAACGAGCATCATATCATGTGATGAATGGATTTTTTTAACGCTCGAACAGCCCGATACGTACGTACGTACCTACGTAACGGTACTACCGGTCGTATGAAAATTTGAACAGAATGAGTACCCGTACCGTACGTAGGTACTGGTACTGGTACTACGGTATGGGTGCTGCTTTCCAGAAAACCGGAATGGCGCAGGGATTACCTCACACGCAGGAATCAACCATCGATGAAACAAAAGCAAAACCCTACGGTACGAAGAACATCTGATGGGTACGTACCGGTACGAGCAAGACAATGCTTTGAAAGGCCCAAAGATTTAAGGATCGACCGAGCAGATAATCCTGAGTTATGGAAATATAGTCTTTTCCACGTCCCAATCGCCAACTTTCACGCCCCGGGTCGAAAGCACCGTCCGACACTGCGCCGATCGATACCGTAACAAAAAATGGCAAACAAGAAACGAAAGAATGCCCAAAAGAAGGCCACGGTTGCGAGCAGTGGCAGGTCGTCCAGGCAATCCAGTAAACCGGGTGGTTCCGACTGCGGCAAGGGAGAACGAAGTTCCCACCACCAAACACAGCGGTCGTTTCAGTCGTTTCCCTTGCACCTGGTGCCGAACAACGAATACGCCGGGAAGGACAACGCCCGAGAGCTTCGCGAGTTGTGCAGGGGAAGGGTGTGGGTGGTCCCGTCCTTCTTCTCACACAAGGAATGCCGCGCCTGGGTCGACTTTTGTGAGTCCTTTGGCAATGCCGGTGGCAACGGATTCCAATACACGGCGCATCCAGCCAGCAAGTACATCACGAACCGAGAATGCTACCGCATGCAGCAAGAGAACGCCAGTGAATTGTCGGATCGCATCTTCCAGCGGTTAAAAGGCATGACCATAACACCAAACAAAAATTGTGGCAACGGCAAAGGCGACGCCAACAGCTCGAAGCCAAAGGAGACGAATGCTTGCCCTACCATACTCTCACGGATACAAAACGACACGGCGGATCTGTACCCACCCCCGAAATCCTACGGGCCGATCGGCTGCAATCCAAATCTCCGCGTCTACCGATACGACGAGGGACATGCCTTTGGCAGGCACGTGGACGAGACAAATGCCGTTTGCGGGGGAGCTACCGAGATGACCATGCTCGTCTACCTCTCGGCCTGCAGGGGCGGGGCCACGCGGTTTCACATCGGAAGCGGCCGCCGTTCCTCCTTCCTGGCCTTTGAGCCAGAGGTCGGGGCGCTCCTCCTGCACGTCCACGGCAAGCACTGCCTGGAACACGAGGCGGACGCTGTTCTGGCCGGCCAAAAATATGTTTTGAGAACCGACCTGGTATACGGAAGGAGGTGAACGACACGAAGGGGTTGCGTGAGCTGCGTCGTGTGCCGAACCGTACACGCAGACAGAGAATCAAGTGTTTTGTTCGGAAACCGTGGACTTTGTCTTGCAATCGGGTGCGCTTTCTCCGCTCCTCGCTTCTGGTTCTGTTTCCAGTAATAGTATCGCAGTTGTTCTTTAGCTGTTGGAGCCCTCATTTTCTAAATTTTTCGGTGCCTCGGCTTCGTCACAGCACCAAAAAAAATTGGCGGCAACGCACAAAACACCATCTGGAAAATACCGGCAGCGAAGGATTGCTTCGAAAACCGCACGCTTTCTGCCACGGTGTGTGCCGTGTTCATGGGCACATCAACGAGGAACTTTCGAACAGCGTCAAGAGGAGTACAAAGAAGGGCACACGAACTCATGATAAATCTAACTCTAAACGTATCAAGCGAACGAAATAAGTTCGGAGTGGCTCTAGCTCATCCCTGACGAAGACACGTGTCTTTACCAATGATTGTGCTTGATTGATCCATTCATTCGTTCCCCTTCCTTTGTGATTCTCTTCCTTCGTTTCAATTCAATCGTAATAGTAATAATTTGATTATAAAGTCAATATCCAAAATAGTGGAGGGTGTTCAACGACAGGAGCCAGCTCTAATGCCTTCCTTACCAGTGAAAGATTCTTTCTTCCGAAGTATGACAAGTTGAAAAAAGCGTGGAATATTTCTGCGGTTGGTTCCATCTCGAACTAAATCAGTATGCTTTTCCGTGTTCTCCCCTCAAGCGATTTGATTCGTAAAAACAACACAATGGTTGCATCATATCCAAGGTTGATTGGATGATCAGGTCCTATTCAAAACAATGTTACCATCCACCGGACTGTTCCAGCATGCAATCGATTTGGTCTTGGTCGTCCAATTCTAGCATTTTTGGCGTCTGATCGGGTTCGATGCGTTCTCCGTCCAAAAGGAAACGAAGAGAAGATAGCTGGACTCCCTTTCGGTTTGCGTAGGTTCCAAATACCTTGGACATTTTGGTTGTCTTTTTGATCTTAAAGAATGTTTCTTCTCCGGTCTTCAGAAGCGAGCGGTGTGTGTGTCGTGTCGTGTTGCGTATCGTGTGGAAAGAACGGGGCGAAACGAATCATAATTCAGTTAGAAGGGCTGTGGTGTTCGGTCGGAACACAATATGTATGTGTAATGCACGGTAGTTGTCGTTCTGGTTCCATAAAAAATGAGGATCTTCTTCAAACTCCTGGTCGCTGGTTCAGTAACGTTACTGGGTTCCCGTCAAATCAACGCATGTGAACTTCTCACTCAATGAAACGAAATCTTCGCGAGACAATCTCAGTTGCACAAACAACCAAGCAAAGGAAAAGCCAAACGGGAGCCCATGTAGAAGGAAGCGGTTGGCAAGCAACTGGCAGCAAGCGCCCAATCCCGTCGTTGCCAAGACAATTTATTTCGCTCACCTGGTCACGGACTCGAATGGTAATTGGCTCGTTGCCGGTATCGGGGGCTTTCTCGTCTGCAGACATTGCTATAGTTTTTAGATTTGTATTATTTTTCTCAAGTATTCTATTTTGGTCCTTGTACGATGCTACAAAGATTGGTGACGGAATATCTGTATTCGTTGTTGTTGCTTGTCGATGCGGCTCGGTGTACCTTCACCTTCGAAAGTTATCATTCGGTAGGGTACGGGTACCGACGGTAGGGGGTAAAGGACTTGCGTGAAAACTCCGTGGCGATCACTCCTAGCAGGGTTCTGACAGTAGATATTCAAAGTCCACAAGCGCGCCAAAATTACAAGTTCCTACAGCATCATTGTTTCGCGAACTCTCTAAGAAAATCTATTGGTTTTTGTGCATGGTCCGCGCAAGCAAAGCGCACTTTAAAAACAAAAAATAGTACTTCTACTTATACGTAATAGGTCTACTTCTCGTATCGAAAATTTTGGTTGGATCGAATGAATCAAACGAAAGAAATTGAAAAAATACTGAGAATCCATGGGACCTTACGTAGTTACTCCAGAACAGCTATTGGGTAAATCCCGTAAACATAGAATCTATGCTGACATACTTATGTAACCACATAGATGCAATCTAAGATATTAAATTATGGCACTACTTGTGCTAAATTTTTGGAATATGGAATTTTGCTTGAAATTAACAGAAAATAGCTGATTTCTTGACAAGTATTGAGAACACATGGCACCAGCAAGCGCGCCAAAACACTAGTAACTACTAGTAGTAGTACTACTAGAACTAGTGAGAACACATGGTGCCACCAGTGAGCACGCAAAAACAAATCCTCCAAAATGCAAGGTGAACCATGTGAAGTTCACTATAACCTCCAAAGTATATGAAGGTGGTGGTAAGAAACAGAGAAATTCTTCTCTACTAGTAGTTACTAGCTAGTATCCTCAACAAAAGGACATGTATCAATGCCAAAGAAGAACCCTCGTCATAGACTCAACCAAATAGTTTTTGCTTACACATGTGTGATGTAGCCCTAGTACAAGTCAAATTTTAATCCCACAAGCCATTACACCATAATTAGATGGCCCAAAATTGACCCACTATACAAAAAACACATAGGGCATTAAGTGAGGTTCAACTCACTCAAACAGCTACATCTTTGTCCCCAATAGATGCTTAAGTATGGTAAGCAAGTGGTTAGAAAGAAAATTCAAAGAGCTTTCTAACGCAGTGCAGGAGTAGGGCATCCGATAGATATTGATTGATATACAAGTATGCATATTGAGGATTCCTAATGTAGTACAATTCAATCCGCCAGAATAACTGTGCCAACACTATACTGATACTGTCTTAAGACTTCAACGCTTCAACGGACCATGTGAAAGGATGAATAACTTTGAAAAATTCAAATAACAAAAAGTATCATGTAGATTTACTCTTCACTCCTCCACAGCAGGATAGCTCACCACTTTGCTGATACAGCTCACATCAATCATATTGATTGAAAATGGTAGGTTGACCATGGGTATTGTCCTTTGCAGGGTTTGTATTGGCCAATTTTTGTTGCATTGATTCCTGTTGTGTACGTATCAATGCATCAATGCTGCAGCTATCGGCTATCTCACCAAAACAAGTTGTTTGCATCTGTATCTAGTGTTGTATGATGGGAGAAGAACCCCTTCTCTTGTTCTTCATTGGGCATCAACACATTAAGGATCTGATTGATGCCTACAGTGCTGGCCAGAAAAATGTACAACAAGATGGCTGAGTTCAAGAGAATCTTCCTTTCAGCTTGCTCCTTAAGCCTCGAAAACTGTCTTTGGATCATCTGCATTCCCCACTCAACAGACTGCTGTCTAAGTGAGGTGGTTTACCAGATTATTGCTAATGCAAGTCTTGCAACAGCTTTGTTGTTGCAGTAGCTGGCCAGGAGATCTGGATCTCTCTGGTAGCTAGCTCCTAAAAAGATATTGCTTGCTGTGCTGTGAATTGATTTGGTGCACCATTTTTGGCTCCCCCTGCTCTTCTTCGTGACTGAAGACTTTTGAATCCACAATTCCAAAAAAATATGTTTGCATACATACTTTGGGCACATGTGAGCCTGTGTGAAACAAAAATCTGTGTATTTGTGTTAAAAACACATACTTCTATGTGTGCACGACTGGAATCTTATTCAATTTTCATAGAATCTATGTTTACAGGAATGACCCAGTGGGTCGTTCCTGTTAATTTAGAAGATCAAAATGTCTAAACAATATACTTTAGACTTTGAGGGTTTAAAAGGATTCAATGAAAATAGGGTCTCAATGGACATTTTTTAAGTGCTCTTCTAGTCTTAAGGGAATTTGGAAGCACGCCAACAGCAATAACTTTAGACTGAAAAAGTGCGCCTGCGCTTTTGGGTACTAAAAAAACATGAAATATCTTATTTCTTCTAGCAGTACTAGTAAATGAATCAATACTGATCATATTCCTCTTTTCCTAACAATAGACCACAGTTCCTTTCCAGTAAACACAAAGGATGCAATGGGAGTTGTTGAGACCCTTTGCATATACTGGGCGACCAAGCATACTAGGGATTGCTTGGTGGAGGAATTGGAAGGATATCAAAAGACCCCAGAGGGGAGGTGCAGGGGGAAAGAAGAATGCCCAAGATTACAATCTGTAGGTATGCTGACTCGCCCTTTGTCTCACTCTTCCAGTCAGGGGACAACCAACCACTCCTTACCTGCTATGGTGTAGATCACAAGGTCTTCAGAGATCTCCTTGAGCTTATTACTAGTCCAACTTTCAACAGGTACACAGTAGATGGGAACAACAAGATTGTTCTTCTTCCTCCTACTACTACAAGGAGTGGAAAGAAAAAGGGAAAGCCTCAAGAGGCAGACACAACTTGTTGTCTTGGACTTGTGCTCTTCTGATACAGAACTAGAGGGTCTGTTGCTAGGGGAATGACTATGGTCTTTGGTCTTACATTGACAGTGATATACAACTGGCTCAAGTTCTCAATGAGGATCCCGCTTTCAGTACTTCATAACAATCCACTTGCCATGGTCAGTCTGCCAAGTGAGCAAGAAATCAATGAGAATGTTAGAACAATTGGAGAAAAGTATCCAAGATGTGTAGAACAACTTGTTTGGGGAGCAGCAGGTGGCCTCAAAGTTGAGATCCAGTCTTCAGAGGACTGGCTCAAGCAAGAGATCTTCTACAATGGATGGAAGGCAAATATTTGCATGAACGGGGTATATATCTTTCCACAACAAGATGGGAGGATTTGTATTGGAACCTTCACTTTCCCAGGCACGTGGCATGATGGTGCCATAAGTGACTATGGTGTGAACAACAAGATGGCCAGAGTCGACAGTGACTGTGCTGGAGGAGCAAAGGTGGTTGTTGATTCAGCTTTTGGCTTGCTGGACAGGGACTTAGTTCACAGAAAGATCCTGGCAAGAATGAAGACAGTCTCTTATTGATTAGGGATGCTACATTGCTGAGACAGATGCCCGAGTGGGGGATGAGGATGATCCAGTGACAGTTCCGCCCCAAGGATGAAAGGTAGGCTTAGATTGGAGGATTGTGGAGAGGGGAAGATCATTCTTGACTTGCTGATCAACTTGTACAACTACCACCAGTTCAGATCTTGACAGTCTTCTTGAAGATGCTGCCTGCGTTGGTGACGCACAAGGCAATGGAGGCGCCTCATCAAGTTGAGAACTTGGTTCCAGGATACTTCCATGATGTAGGCCGGTATGTGTCTCCAGTAGGAAACAATGCATTCTTTGGATGAATCCCATGGTCAAAGTGCTAGTTTGAACAAAGATTACATTCAGTGAGTGTTTGTCAAGTGTTGTTGGTCCATACAACAACAATATTTGCTGCTGCTCATGCAGCAACGCAACAATGATATTTGCTGCTCATATCAATTTGCTACAACACAAGAAATCCAGAACAACACCAATGGTACTTACACTGGTATCCAAACATTGATTTGATACAACACAAGAAATCCAGAACAACAACAATGGCACTTAACCAATATCTGCCATGGTGGAGGGTTCAATGTTTTGTTTGATTAGGTGTGTTTTGTCTGAGCAAGCACTCATCTTGACACAACTGTTACACACAGCAAAATAATGAGCAAACATTTAGTACAAGCAAAAACCACCACTGTATGGTATGCTCATTAGACCCTCATGTTGTTCTCTATTTTCTGATAAAAATTGTTGCCACCCAGGATTAGAACTCATTGCATGCATATTAATCACTGCATATTAATCACTGCATATTAATCATGTGAACAATCAGGGTTTGTTTTCTGTGACAACAGCTATCACATGCATTGCTTTTTGTAACAGCAGCTGTCACATGCATTGATTGGCACTACATGGTGTATGACTTATATTCATTACAGAATATATTGAGATATCACATTGCTTTGTCCCGATGCTCATAATATTTATCTTCATTAAATTATATTTCTAGATGTGGAGGGTATACATGAAAATTGATACAAAAATTTGAAACAACACAGTGTAACTTGGGGGGAAGATACAGCTTCCTTGTTATGTCTTTCTCATTACTTTGTTATTGAAGTAATTTAAATTGTATGTGCACTAATCATTGTTATCATAATTGCAAATGTTTGGAATTCATTGCTATCACCATGGGATTTGCTGTGTTGGCGCTTGCTGGTAATGTATGCAGAGAGTGTCATTGCCATTGTTGAGGCAAACAATTGAGCCAAGGTAAGCCACTTCTCATTTTGCTTGTTGGCCCTCTGCACTCTTCTTGCTCTGTCCCTCTAATCAGCCTTCCTGTCTCTTTCGGCCTCTCTCTCTTGTCCTGTTGCTGGAGATACTCTTGAAGAACAGCATCCTGTTCAGCAATTTTCTTCTTAGGCCTTCCATAGGATCACTTTTTTCCTGTCAGGACAATGGGTTCCTCAATGTCAACCAATGTGGTGGTGTCCAAGGTCAACACAGTGTTGCTTGATTTTGATGATGACGCCTTTGCCAAGTCTGTGGTATCCTCATTATCAATGTAGTAACCTTTCACTGGATCAAAGGTTTCCTCTCCAGTTCCAAGATTTGGCTTGATTCCAATCAAGCAATGAGCCTCTTTTGCAAGCTTGATGGACTCTGGGACAATGGGATTCCAAGTAGGCCCCTTCTGTCT